ACTGGCTGAGACATCAGTTCAAAGATTTTTACGCTGAGGGAATACGGAAGCTTGTTCATAGATGGGAAAAGTGTGTGACAGTTCTGGGAGACTACGATGAAAAATAAAAAAAGTAAGCTTCTATCTGTATTAGAAGTCCTTATACCGAAAAATTCACCTTATTTATTGAATGACCCTCGTATATATATATATATATATATATATATATATATATATGTGTGTGTGTGTGTGTATGTGTGTGTGTGTGTGTGAGCCTGTGTGTTTGTGCGTGAGTGCGGTGTGAGTGTTATATATATATGTGTGTGTGTATGTATGTATGTGTGCGTACGTAGGGTGTGTGCTTCTTTGTATGTGTGCGGTAATTTTAGCTAATGCACTAGTCATACATAGAAATAAATTCAACCACGATTTTTATTTTAAAAATGCTACACTCATAAAAAAAGAAAATAACTCACTCAGAAGGAAAATTCTGGAGAGTGCCGCCATAGAAAATTACCCAAATATTAATCTTCGCCCAGGTTTTTTCCCCATTTCACCTTTCTTAACAAAATTACTGCTCTTACAAACAAATGTACACAACAGATTCATAAAATCAAAGGAAAATGGTTGAATACATCAACACAGATATAATGACAATATTCTCCACACATGACAAATATTGACGTTATTTTCAGTTAAAAATATGAAAATAGCGTTTCTCTACATTCCAGTTGCTAGGAACATTCTGTTTTTGTTTTTATTAGTTACTTTCTTCAATTAATTTCATTTTCGCATTTTGCTTTGATAAAGTCCACATTGGACGAAACGCGTCAGCAATTACCAGTTTTCCTATTGTCATTTTTATTGATATATATATATATATATATATATATATATATATATATATATTTGTTCAAATTAAAAATTAACATATCTTGAAAATAATTGATCAATTTTCATATATATATATATATATATATATATATATATATATATAAGGTGACCCCAAAAAAACAGGAATTTTTAAAGTGCGTATTGCCAGACATGAGCAAGTGGCAACACTGCGAGACAGTGACCTTGAGCAAGTAAACATTTCGCCATTTAGAATTGAAGATGAAATTCACAGTATCCCAGATGAGATGTTACAGCAGTCAATGAGGGATCTCAACAGCAGATTTCAAGAATGCATTCGTACAGGAGGACCATATCTACAGGACGTAATTTTAAAAAGTGAAAATTCCATCATTGTTTCTTACATGGCATGTTTTAAGGTTTCAATTACTATGAATAAAATATTTTTCTTTCATCACTCTTGGTTTTATTGGATTGCTAAAAAGTTCCCATTTTTGGGGTCACCCTGTATATATATATATATATATATATATATATATATATATATATGTGTGTGTGTGTGTGTGTGTGTGTGTGTGTGTGTGTGTGTGTGTGCGGAAGGTTCGAAAACTCTCAAGTATTTTCTTGTGATAATATATATGCGTATTTCTTCATTCATATACCTAATTTTATGCCACTGTATGGTAAATATATGAGGCAGTTTTGAATTTGTTTTTATTAAGAATCTTACTTCATAAGAACAAAATCTCCATCTTTTTCTTTCTAAATTCAACTCATGTATTGTCTATGTATCTCACATTGTTTCAGTATCACTGGCTTATGGTCATTTCCCGTTGAAACACAGCTTTTTGTACGATTACCGAAGTTAAACAACATCGAGCCCCGTCTATAACTACGATGGGTGACCGCTTGGGAATACCAAGTGCTATAAACTTGGATGTGCGGGTGGTGTAATGGATAACACCTCGGAATGGGATCGAAGAGCCGAGTTTCAGTTCCAGTCAGGTTCGTTACATTCACTTACGCACAAACGCCCTTGGGTAAGTTAGGAATCCACCTCTTCTGTCAGCTCGTATTAAAACTTGTATCAGTAAACCATATTGTTTGTTTAAATTAATCAATTAAAAGCTTAAAATTTTCACTTGTTTGGTGATAAACTACATTTTCTAATTAAATGTAAATCTTTCGCAAATATATTTCGATTAAAATAACAGTATTTGATATTTTTTTTAACCCATTTTATCAGGTCTTAAGATTTTGACCAGGAGAGTATATTCACTTCAAAAGTGGCGTTAATATCTCATATATATAAAATGTTTACTTCTCTTTATTTTGAAATTAGCGGAATTGTATCAACTGTTCAGTGGATTTCATTGCAAAATTGGATTTATTTTTAGAAATAATATTATCTTTAAAAGACATCATTTAATGATTTTTTTTCACTTGCATCGTACAAATTTTTGTATATAATCAAAAATTAAATATTAATTGGACTTTTGATATATATTCTTTAAGCATTTCACCCTAAGCATATGTGAATGAAATTCAAGCAACAAAACGTAACATAATAATAATAATAATAATAATAATAATGTTATATATATACGTAAAATAAATCAACGTATATCATGGGGAATAGAATTTCTGTCAATAAAGTGTTCGATAGTAAAGTATGCGTAGAGCAAAAATTATTGAATCAGAAGTAATATAAATTCAAATATATATAACACATACATATCTATATGTATGTACGTTTACCGATTTATATATTTAGCATATATTTACACACATATATATATATATATATATATATATATATATATATATATATATATATATATATATATATATATATATAATTCGTGTTTCATCCTTTCTTTTTTCTTTGCGTCCTTCCTTCCTTTTTTCCTTCCTTAGCACGTACGTTACGCCCTACTAATACCTACTAAATAATAAACAGACTGTTACGTTTAAGAAAGTTAGGAAAGACGGAAAAACATATTAGAAACTCTACTTGATTCCAGTGAGAGTATATATATATATATATATATATATATATATATATATATATATATATATATATATATATATCCTAACTTATTATGTTAGCTCTATCACTGATATTGAGCGCTTTCCACTAAATTGCTTATATATATATATATATATATATATATATATATATATATATATATATATATAAAGCTATATATATATAATTATATATATATATAATATATATATATATATATATATATAAGCTATATATATATATATATATATATATATATATATATATATATATATATATAAGAATTCAGAGAAACATGTTTAATTAGATTCAACTGAAAAACAGTTTATTTTTAATGGTATTTTTTCAAGTTATATGTTTACGGATATATCCAGTTGAATCTACGGTTCTCGTAGAATCATCGAAGTTAAGCAAAGCCGAGCCTGATTCGTCTGTAGGTGGGTGATCGCCTGGGTGGTGTAAGTGGGTACAGGAATGGATAACGACTGGGAATTCGAGTTGGAAGTGACGATTTCCAATTCCAGTTATGGTCGTTTTATTCACATACGTGCAAATACCATTGGACATGAATCCACTTCTTCATTCCCAGCTATGGGTTATTTAGTAGGATCAAAAAATGATTATTTAAAAAAACAAAACTAAAAAACTCTTACAATGTAAAAATATTTTCTGGATTTAAATAACCTGTTTCTCAATTCACAGTGAAAAGTTTAATTTTCAGAATAAGGCAACAATTTTGTCTTAGAAAAAAACAAAACCCTGACGATGACATTGTGCTAATATCAAAAGTACTGGGAATAAATAAATATGTATCAACATGGTAATTCTCTCTTCCTTTAATAAGGATACTAAGAAGCTGAAAGGATCCTATTGAAAATATGTAGACAAAACCTATCTCCCCTGACGTGAAATTTAGATCGTACAGCTTTTATCATATCACAGTTAACTAACTTTCAGATGAGCACAACAATCTCTCTGACCATAGATCAATTAGGATCCATTTAATAACACACGGAAAGCTACCAAACACCGTCCGCAAACTAAGTGAGGAAAATACGATATCAACAGCCTAATCGACATGTAAAAAACGTTAAAATAAATGGAAGCATTGATAATAAAAAACGAAAAAGCCAGCACCCAGTATTATCAACTATGAACACGGACGCGTTTTTGGAAAATGAAAAAAAAACATTACCATCACAACAGATACACATATATAGAACTCTATATATTCAGTTCAAAATAAGAGCAAAACATCCTTGATAATGGCTAAGAGATTAGCTGAAAGCTCTCGAATATATAGAACATTCTTTTTACAGACTTTATGTAAAGAAAGCACTTATATGAATAAAAGGGGAATTGAATAAAAAACTTAATCGCAGTACCTTTTCAGTCGTCTTTAATGAAATTTGTATAAAAGAGGGATTGCTACCCAAATGTACAATTATATATATATATATATATATATATATATATATATATATTCTTGTTTAAAATACCTATACTTTTTCATGGAAATAATAAACATAAATTAGATATTTTTGAAGTTATCTGTATTAAATTTGAAATCGACCCTTAATAAAATTCGTTATGAATACTGCGCAAATGTTTTAAAATGTTTGCAGTAAATAGTTTCAGATATCTAGGTTTAACTAATAGATTTTTTTGTTTTTTATTTAAAAAAAACAAAAACATATGGATATTTCAAAATCCAGTTACCTCCCCTGACGTTTACATCATGAAATTTAAATCGTACAGTATATAAGCGTTTCTCAATTCACAGTGAAATGTTTAACTTTCAGATGAAGACAACAATTTTGTCTTAGAAAAAGAAAACAAAAAAAAAAAAACAACACTGATGATGACATTGTTCTAATGTCGAAACTACTCGGAATAAATGAAAATGTATCAACATTTCTCTCTTCCTTTAATAAGGATATGAAGAAGCTTACCCGGGAATATGAGATAATTCTATTGAAAATAAGCAGACAAAATTTGTCTAAATTGTTCAATGAGACATGTCTTATAAGATAAGGATATATATTTTTATATATATATATATATATATATATATATATATATATATATATATATATATATATATATATATAAAGAAAAAATTGAGGCGGGGGAGACAAGTATGCATGGGCTCCAGCCAGTACTTTGTTCCGGGGCCAAAGAACTAAGAAGGGCCCTAAGAAGGGATCTATCACGATTGAGTATTGAATCTGGCATTACCAGACGAAATGATAGTATTATTAGAAATTATGCAAACAAAAAGTCAGAAAAGCGTATTTTAATTAGTACTCTAGTTAAAGTTGTTTTGTGTTTTTTTAAAGGAAAAATATTTTTCTTTGAAAGAACTTATTCTGAACGTTTAAAATGCATTTGACTATGACAGAATCTAAAAGGCGATCGGTGAATGTAACCGTAAATACTGATTTATATTGCGCCATTAATTGAATATGTTGCTTATATTATGTTATATCTGATTATAGAAATAAATCATTTGTAAGAGTTTAAATATAGATTAAGTGGACATTAAATCCTCAATTTTGAGAAAAATCCTTTTCTGCCTTGTGGCACTAAAAGGGTCTTGTACCGCTTTGCAAAATTTCCGTTGGAGGACTTGTGGTCTGAAGATTGTTTTCAAGCATGAACCAGACCGTCGCCCAACACGCTGTTAACCTCAGCCCAATCATATATATATATATATATATATATATATATTGATAATACAATATGGTAATCCGTATGGAATTCCCAGGATGATATGGATCCAGGGAGAGCTGTATGTCAAAGGACAGAGCAAAATTATTAATTAAAGAATATCAAACACTTAAAATCCCATAGGTAATAATTTTTATTTCACGAGAGCTCTAAAAAACAATAACTCTCAATAGAATGGAAAAAGACCTATATATATATATATATATATATATATATATATATATATATATATATATATATATATATATATATCTATCTATCTATCTATCTATCTATCTATCTCAATCTGTCTGTTCATATCTATCTATCTATCTATCTATCTATCTATCTATCTATCCCAATCTCAGTCTGTTCATATCTATCTATCTCAGTCTGTTCATATCTATCTATCTATCTATCTATCTATCTATCTATCTATCCCAATCTCAGTCTGTTCATATCTATCTATCTCAGTCTGTTCATATCTATCTATCTATCTATCTATCTATCTATCTATCTATCTCAATCTCAGTCTGTTCATATCTATCTATCTCAGTCTGTTCATATCTATCTATCTCAGTCTGTTCATATCTATCTATCTATCTATCTATCTATCTATCTATCTATCTATCTCAGTCTGTTCAAATCTATCTATCTCAGTCTGTTCAAATCTATCTATCTCAGTCTGTTCATATCTATCTATCTATCTATCTATCTATCTATCTATCTATCTATCTATCTATACAGTGTCTCTGTAAAATTATTTTTTCCGTACCTCCAGCTGAATTTGCTTTATGTAATCACATACTGAGTAGATGCCTCGATGTACATGTGCGTGAGAGAACAATGGAAAAAGACAGTCTATCTCGACAAACATTCAGAGAGAAACAATGAAAGAGAATAATAATGAAAAGGATAATAACGAAAAGAGTAAAAAAGCGCGCACCCTTCTGTTCCCACTAAGTGAATCGGCTGTCTTTGTAACGTTAAGCTATCAGATTTGTCTTGATTTTTAAAAAATGGTTTTGGCACGAGTCAATGCTCATTGGTCAGTTAACATAGCTGATCTTACAAGCCACGCCTACTCCGGATTGTTTGTGGGCGGGGCTATGAATAAAAACGCTGTCAATTTATTTTGGTAGTAAAATTCAGTTATTTTTTTTAATTTGTTTTCCTTTGGAGAAATTTTCACAGAGACGCACAGGCGCAGCAGCCCAGAACGAAATTTGAACAACCCCTCCAGATTCCATTTTCGCCACCGATAACCTTTACGCTCCATGTGCGTGTGTGAGTAGAGGCAGGGGTACATTAATAAATCAGCACGCTGACACAAACTTATTCGTTAAATTTTGATCTGAAATTTTCGCTGTATAATATCTATCTATCTATCTATCTATCTATCTATCTATCTATCTATCTATCTATCCCTTTCTTTTTCTTTATCTATCTATCTATCTATCTATCTATCTATCTATCTATCAAGACATACATAGTTGAAAAAGAAGAGAAGAAAATAAATTGAAATAATATAAACTTATTCGCTAAATTTTGATCTGAAATTTTCGCTGTATAATATCTATCTATTTATCTATTTTTCTTTATCTATCTATTTTTCTTTATCTATCTACCTCTGTATGCATCTATCTATCTATCTATCTATCTATCTATCTATCTATCAAGACATACATAGTTGAAAAAGAAGAGAAGAAGAAAATAAATTGAAAGAATATATATGTATATATATTAAAAAAAATTTGAAATTATCTTTTTGACCATGGCCTGTTTATTGGATGAACCGTTGTCATTAAAAAAATTATTTTATTTCACGAGAAAAAAAATTCACGTCAGTCCGACGGAACGTGATTACCATTAACTGTTTGAAAGATGGCTATTTACTTAAAAAAGAAGTTGAATGAGTAAAGATATTTGAGAAATTAATTAAAATCTATAACTGTTACAGAAAGTACATTTTGACTAATTTTTGAACGATCTTTTCTAACTCAATTTTTTCAGATTACTTAAAATAAGGTACCTCCAAAATTATGTACCACCAAAATAGGTACCCCCACCCAAAATTAGATAGCTTCAAAGGTTTGCTAAATTTACATGATTTTTTTTTATTATTAAATTTTATGTTTTGGTCCTTTCTGGAACGTTTGGAAATTTGGTTTAAAAATTTTGTTATCTTTCATTCAGCGGGGGACTGACTATAAATTTGTCTAAGACATTATAGCGTTTTTGCGGTGAAAAAAAAAAGACATTGATTTAGAAATTCCTGCAAAAATCAAATACGTTTTATGAAAGTTTTAGGACTTATTCACAAATGAACGAAATTATTTTAGAACTGTTTCTTTCTTAGAAAATCTTGGTAAAACATTTTATTTTTACATCTGTTAGTCACCCACATTTAATTTTATGGAATTTCGAGAAATTCGTTTTTTTATGGCTTAAAACTAGAAAAGGTTACTGAATGAGGAATAACGAAAACGGAGGTTGGAAATGAAATATTAATTTTTATAACATCAATAAAATATAATACTCGCCAGCGGCGTGAAGTAGGTAAACCACTGCTAGTGGTGGACTACTTAGACAGCATATTACCCCCCCCCCACTTACAATAGTGTCCAACGTATTTATGAGGATGGGGACATATACATTAGTGTCCATAGGTACGGTATATAACAATTAAGTATAAGCAGAATATATTTTGTTCAGTTTAATGTTTATGTTAGTTATAAGCAGAAATCCTTGGAGAATTTAAATCCTCAATTTGTTTTTGTAACCCTCAGTTACAGAAGATCTGTTCTGAATCGTAAAATTAAAAAAAAATACATTAAAACTAAAGCATTATTTAATTAGAAAAGCTTTTAATTGCTTTTATGAAGAAGATATATTATGGGCACTATTGTCTTAAAAAATGTTTTTTTGATGAATAATTAATTTTTACGAGAATTGTTTTTTTTTTATTAAATTTTAATTAGAATAATTTATAAAGTTTTAAATCTTTTAAAAATCTTTATGAATTTGTACGGGTTAGGTGATATTGTTATTAATTAAAACTTTATTTGCTTATCATAAATGGAAAAACTTACGACAATTCGCCGATCCCAATATTTTAAAATAAATATTGAATTTTTTTTGTGTGTGTATAAACGTGTCGATTTTTCTACAAAATACAGATGTCCATACACGATACATTATCAAAAAATAAGAGCGGTACTTATTTAAAGCCAAAGTACCTAAAATTCAATAAAACATTAGATTACGAAGAATATTTTTCTAAATTTTTAATATTACTAGGCAGTTAAAAATTACATACATAGGCTCTCACATTGTATTCCTCAAGTAATTTTACAGATATGTCCCCTGTAGAAAAACAATAAATTTCCCACTCTCAATCTGCCAATAGAGCTGTCAACATCAAATAAAACACCCACCTCTGTGGTAAATATGCATTTCTGCCATATTTTCAACTAAAGGGAAATAGTATTTGTTTCAATTCAGAATAATTAAACTTTAAATCACACCATGAATAAAGTTTCAGAAAGGTACATTTTATTTTTTAAATACTTTTTAATAAAGAGAATTACGTTTTCTTGGTTAAAATAGTTAAAATCAGCGATTTGAAAAAAAAAGTCATTCCAATCAATTTTTTTAAGCATTTCACCCCAGGCAGGGCGGTAGTGCCACTAGCAATGCAAAGGGTTTCAGAGAATGAAAGTAAGGGTAAAGAGGTGTGTTTGAGGAAAGGATAAAGAGAAGGACAGGGATCAAGATCAAAGCATCAGAAGATGTCGATTAACATTATATTTACATTTTTGAAGGTTATACTCATCAGGGAAGGGAGTTCCACTGTCGGGAAGTGCAAGAAAAGAAGTTGTTGGGGTAGAATAGGCGGTTACATTTAACTGTTTCAACAGTAAAAGGGTGGGACCGAGATGCCAGTCTTGTAGCACGCTTAAATTCATGCAGTTGGGGCACAAGTGAAAATAGCCCGTCAGAGCAGTTGCCCTGAAAATATTTGTAGAAAAGACAGAGGGAAGCCACATCACGACTGTGAAAAGGTGACTGTAAGCGTTACTCTTTCAGATTAGTTTTGAAATACAGCAAAGTATTTATTGCATAATGGAAAGATTAAATTTAATCTATTAGGTTGAAATTAAAACTAAAAACTTCAAGAAAATTCTTTTATATTTTAAGAAAATGCATTTTATACCTTAGGTATGGCGTTTCTTTGGAGGTACCTTTTTAAAATCTATAAATGTTATAGAAAGCAGATTTTAACTAATCTCTAAAAGATCTTTTCCATTTCAACTTTTGTCGTACACACACACACAAACACACGCACACACACAGACACAAACACACGCACACACACAGACACAAACACACGCACACACACAGACACAAACATACAAATTTTCGTCTAAACTTTTCATTGTAAAATTTCGATTTATATGATTCGTTCATGAGTATGGGTTTAAATAAATTGACAAGAAAAGAAGTATTAAAAAAATAAATATTTGCTGGGAAAAATTAGTTTCATTACACACACACACACACACACACACACACACACACACACACACACACACACACAGAGACATATGTATGTATATATACAGGCTGTGGCAGAAACACCTCCGACATATATCTCTTATAAATACTTTCAACATAATGGTAAAACATTCGTGGCAATAGTCTTTTCATCAAGTTAATGTCTTAGCATTAGTTCAGATGTATTGCTATTGCACCCTATATATATATATATATATATAGAACAGTAAGATATATAATCCAGTGTTCTTATCTTATCTTATCCTTGCAAACAAAAAAATTATTAATTGCATGTGCGTTTAAAACTCAGTAAATTTAAAAATAAGTCATTCCAAAATTCGCTTGAAGCTGAAATAATTAAATTTGAAATTTTTAGCTTCGGTTTTTGAAACATGGTAATTCCTGTGTAGCGAAGAAACCATATTTAAAATAAGTTAATATATATATATATATATATATATATATATATATATATATATATATATATATATATATATAATGCTAGTAAAAGATTTGTCACTTAGCTGATTGATGTTACCTTCAGCATCCCGATTCTAGAGTTTCGCAGACAGATCTTCCGGGAATCATCCCGTCCACTCGTAAGGGCTATCAGCAATTGACTACTTATACTTTTCGATTTTTTATACGTCCTTTTTTTCATCGTGTATGTGTGCGCCGTGCGTTTGTGTATGTGCTTGTTGTGTGCGTTTGCGTGCAGTGCGCCCATGCCCCCCGTCTGCGGGTTGTGCGTACGTGCAGAATGTCGTAGTTATTTGTCTTTTTTGCCGCTTTTTTTTTTTTTTTTTACTTTACACTAACCACTTAACCTTTTCTCTTTTTTTTCATTTTTCTTTCAATTGTAGCCATTTTAACGTCCGTTTTTCTAGACATATACTGTCGGTGTTAGTTCTTGAGTGTCCTAGTTTTTTTTACTGTTTTAGTGTTTATTTGGTTAAATACCAACAGAAATACCTTGTTAATTTATTAATTTCTATTTGATTTTTAAATGTCCCAGACTATTTTTCCTATACCTGAGTACTTTTGACTAGCGTTAGCCATTATCAGATTTTTATTCTTTTTTGTTTTTCATCATCATCATCATCATCATCATCATCATCATCATCATCATCATCATCGCTCTTTCGTTTGGAGGTTCACTACGGCTAAGTGTGATTTCATATCTTCAGCAACTTTGTAAATATTAATATTATATATTAATTATATAATATATAATTTATATTATATATTATATATATATAATATAAATATTATTATTATATTATAATATATTATTATATTATATTAAATATTATCCTCTTCAAACCTCGATGTACTTGGTAAACTCAGGAAAATTTGCAGGCTCTTCAAAGGCTTTTGCGGAGTAATAAAAAATTTTATTGATATTTTTGTCGTTATTCATAACAGACGCTGCCCCGCCTTCAGCAGCTGAGGCATAACTCTTTGGTGCAGATCCATGGCCTCTTAAGAACGACGGATGTCACATATAGGTAACGAGAAACCACTTTCTTCACGCGGGAATATTTGCACATATCTTGTTGAACTGTTCTTCTTTTGATTACTTGCACTTCGGCAATTAATTGGAGATTCTTCCCCAGCTGTGCTCATTGAACTCTCTAACTTCGGGCGAAGAGGAACCCAGACGAGGCTTTGTCCTTCTCCTACCCGACCCCGTTTTTTTTTTCTACGGGCTCTGTTTTTACCCCGCATTTAAAACGGCCTTGTATCACATCCTGCCTCGCGGGGAGGTAAGGAAAATAACCTTGCACTCATTTTAGTCAGACCCAGATCACCCACGCAAAAAAAGGAGACACCACGTTCTCCATCGTCTACACTAAGGAACCTACGGTTCAACTATCCGGAAGTCGAACTACATCTTCAAGAGGTCAAGCCTCATCTCATGTTCCTATCTGAAGCTGGACCCAATCTGACTGGTGCGTTGTGGAACGGATTCCCTGGAGCAGTGCTTCTTATACCTTTTTCATTCATGGCCCCCATTTTTCATGACGAGATTTTTCGCCACCCCAGGTATTAACTTAACTATACTGAAAATACATCCGTTGTCACTGCACGTGTCGCAACAGCGCCGCGCGAGCGTTTTATTACCACAACGC